GAACCCTTCTTGTCACCTGTTTGATGTGACGTCCACAGGTTGAACCAGGCTGTATTATTAACCATTCAAGCAAAGACATGCAAACATATTCGAGTCCTCCGACAGTGAGGAAATATGTCGGAGCTTTCACAAAATCACACAGATTTATTTTGCTTTAATTTTAATTCTTTGGTTTTGTTTTAAGCATCCCTCCAACCGAAGGAGCTTCATAGAAGGTGTTGTGGTGTTGAGCCTGTTGGTATGGTTCAGCATCTTCCAGCATACCTCCTGGATGTCTCCTGACATGCCTGGGGCATGTTGACCTGAGGAGCAACAACAGTTGCCTCGAGGTGCTTCATCGTTTAATGCAAACATGAGCATCACCCCGTAGGAGTCAGAGGAGGTGGCTGAGAGTCTGCTCTCTGTTTAAACTACAGGAGAAGACTGCTTTCATCTGCAGCTCTCGGCAGGTCGATGCTACCTACAGACACCAGAACAAAAACCCAAAGACTCTTAAGCTCACAGACATGTTTGTGTTTGTCTAGTTTACTCTTTCAGTTGTTTTACTTGCTGCAGCCAGAGGAGAGAGGAGCGTGTGCTATCTCTATTTTATTTTATTTTCTAATCTGCTTCATGAAAAAGAGAGCATGACAGCCATGTCTGTTTGAAGAACTAATGTGAGTTTAAAAGCAGCGTTACTGGTGTTCCTGTGGTCCACATGGAGCTGAATAATGAGTGTGTTCAGGAGGATTATGAGTCACTGGGGTCAGAAACAGTTCAGGAGCGCCTCAGAGGAGTGCCGCTGGAAACTGACCCAGAGTCAGATTGAATCTGAGCGAACGCGGCACGGAGGATCAGCTGCTCACAGAACTCCTCTGTACATACGGCGAGTAATCGGATCATGTGATCACAGCGCTGTATATCAAATGTACTGACTGTACAGTTTAGTTAATGACTGATTGTTCCGTCGGCTCAGTTCGACCACACTGAGGGTTTCACAGGTTTAATGGGAGACATTCAGCAGCGGGTTACCATGGTAGCAGCTATTCAGGCTGATGCAGAAAAATAAAGTTTGCAATAAATTGCAATAAACAGTAAGCAGCTCAGAGAAACCTCACAGAGTCAAATCCACTCTCAGACTAAAAGATAAAACGAGCTTCAGTCCAGTTTGAACTGAATCTGTTTTTATTGCCTGAAGCTCGAGTCCGCCACAAAAAACTGGACGACTTCTCCTTCATCCAGGTGGAGCTTCCTCTCTCTCCTCTAAGCGCTGGCGTAGTGCGTCTTCTCAGAGCTGGACGCTTCCTCTCCGTGATGATGCCAGCAAAGGCAGCGGCCCCACCTGAGCAGGCGCTGGAACACCTGAAGGCAGCAGAGGAGACGTGAACACACGGAGACGTAGCACAATGAATCCAGAACTGCAGTCTGCGTGAGAACAGCTGCAGAGGTGAAACCTCCAGGACAAGAAAACATTTTTAAAACTTTATGTTGAGTCAAAAATCTGTAAAGTTTAAGCAACGTGTCGAATCAGATCTGACTGATGTTTTATGTCCCAGTGAAAAACTCCTCTGAGAGCAGATGTTAACCAGAAAGCCACTCACCGTCCTCCGTCCACGGCTGATGATGCTTTTCCTGCCGCTGCTGGAAATCCGGCCGTGAACGTGCAGGTTGTAAAGGAATAAGATCCTCGTCTTCTCCCTCTGACACAGACAGAGACGACATTTTGTTTCACATGCATGCAAAGTCTTTATATGCTTCATATTTCTGTCTGAAGACCTGAAATCTAAAAAATACCATATGGAAAAGATATTTATAAATCTTATAAAGTTTGTATCTGTCTTGTGTGAAACTTGTATGAAAAGCATGCAAGAGTGAAAACAGATATAAGATCCCTTGAAGAATCATATAATGAAACTTGTATGTTTTGGATACTTACTAAAACAATATATGAAAGTAATGAGAAAGTTTCACTTTCATGAGTAAATCATGTAAGTTTTTACTATTTCTTTTCCATATGGGGTGATTCAGTCGCTTGGATCAAAGCTGAGAGAAGTTTAACTCGGGTCCGGCCTACTCTTCATCACCTGGTGCTGACTGTGTGTTGTTGTGGAAAATTTAACAATAACCTGCAACACCCAGTGAGCTTGGTTTGAAGTGGGTTCACACATTGCAATGTGGAGAGAGCATCCCAGTGAAACACCAGGACCATCTCTGAATTGTGGCCACTGCCCTTACATCTTATATACAGACACAGTCTCTTACATACTGGCCCCTCTCGGGGGGGGGGCTATACCTCCTCCCTCACAGAGAGAATTATGACCTTGTTTTCTGCTTGGCCATCACCTAAAGATTTACATCCCTGATAAGCAGAAGGAGCCTCACTATCTGTTTAACGTCTCCCATTACAATGGCCTCACTGTGTTAACTTTCCACATGCATGTAAACTAGTGACAGGAGTGCT